GGATTCTCGACAGCACAGGAGTTTGCGCGAGGAAGGAATGCACGAAAGGGTATTTTAAACTGGTGGCTTCCTAGGAGTGAGTGGGGAGTATTTTGACGGGAATGGGGCAGTTATGAAATGTGTATTTTTCCTGCGATTTCTGAGAGGTTGTATATAAATTCATTCATTTAGTGGGTTTTTTTTTTTCGTTGTATTCTGTTGATGTGCAGTATTTTTTTTCTATTTTAAAGGGTTTTAGTGTTGAGTCGGTTTGTGCATTGTGAGCATGTGTGATAAAAGACAAAAAAAAACAAAACAAAAAAAAAACAGAAGGAAAACATCATTTTCATTGTATTCTCTGTTGATGTGCAGTATTTTTTTTCTATTTAAAGGGTTTGAGTGTTAAGACGGTTTGTGCATTGTGTGCATGTGTGATCAAAAAAAAAGAAAAGAAGAAAAAAAAAACATACTGAAAAAAAAAAATCAGCCATTGAACAAATGCAAAGAACATGATAGAACTTTCGGCCAAAAAACTGCTGATGTCCTCCTCCTCCATAAACTACTACTATAATATATAAAATAATACAAAATAATAATAATATATATAATATATAAAATAATATAAAATACTACTCTTACTGCATAACCTGATCCTCTCTCCGAGTAGCAACATCTGCAACCAGCCTCAATCTTCCCCTCCAGGATGACGCAGCACATTTCGCGATCTCCTGACCTCGAGCCTGAAGAAGGAGCTCGAGAAAAGGAGAAAAGTCTCCGAGGTTGTATCCACTCTCCTTGGAAGACGCTGTGGGGAGTCGGGTTCTCTGTCTTCTTCCCCCTTTCCATTCACTCCTCTGGTTCTCGGTTCCACTCCGGAGACCGCCAGGGGGATGATTGGTCCATTAGGCTTTGTGCGAAAGACTTCCGGAAAGATTGCGGGCGTGAGGTTGGTCTTCTTGTCTCCATACCCTTGATTTGCTTCATAATCAGAGCAGTTAAAAAAAATAAAAATAAAAAAAAAAAAATAAAAAAAAAATCTGTGATACGTTGGTCTGAGAAGCTTCTCTCTTTCTCTCTCCGTTGCACCCTGTCTCCATACCCTCATAATCAGAGCAGTAAAAAAAAAAAAAAAAAAATAAAGAAAAAAAAATACGTTGGTCTGAGAAGCTTCTCTCTTTCTCTCTCCGTTGCACCCTGTCTCCAACCCTCATAATCAGAGCAGTAAAAAAAAAAAAAAAAAAAATAAAGAAAAAAAAAAATACGTTGGTCTGAGAAGCTTCTCTCTTTCTCTCTCGTTGCACCCTGTCTCCATACCCCTCATAATCAGAGCAGTAAAAAAAAAAAAAAAAATAAAAAAAAAAAAATACGTTGGTCTGAGAAGCTTCTCTCTTTCTCTCTCCGTTGCACCCTGTCTCCATACCCTGATTTGCCTCATAATCAGAGCAGTCAAAAAAGAATAAAAATAAAATGTGATACGTTGGTCTGAGAAGCTTCTCTCTTTCTCTCTCTCTCCATTGCACCGAATCTTCGCTTGATTAACAGAGCAATGGAGGTAGTAGCGCAGTGTGTCACGTGATCGTTCTTCTTATTTCCACTTGGAGTAGGAAGAGTAAAGTGGCGTTGGGGAATTTCCACTTGGAGTAGGAAGAGTAAAGTGGCGTTGGGGAATTTCCACTTGGAGTAGGAAGAGTAAAGTGGCGTTGGGGAATTTCCACTTGGAGTAGGAAGAGCAAAGTGGCGTTGGGGAATTTCCACTTGGAGTAGGAAGAGTAAGTGGCGTTGGGGAATTTCCACTTGGAGTAGGAAGAGCAAAGCGGCGTTGGGGGAATTTCCACTTGGGAGTAGGAAGAGTAAAGTGGCGTTGGGGAATGTTGGGGAATTTCCACTTGGAGTAGGAAGCGTTGGGGAATTTCCACTTGAGTAGGAAGATAAAGTGGGCGTTGGGGAATTTCCACTTGGAGTAGGAAGAGCAAAGTGGCGTTGGGGAATTTCCACTTGAGTAGGAAGCAAAGCGCGTTGGGGAATTTCCACTTGGAGTAGGAAGAGTAAAGTGGCGTTGGGGAATTTCCACTTGGAGTAGGAAGAGCAAAGCGGGTTGGGGAATTTCCACTTGGCGTTGGGGAATTTCCACTTGGAGTAGGAAGGAGCAAAGCGGCGTTGGGAATTTCCACTTGGAGTAGGAAGAGCAAAGCGGCGTTGGGGAATGGGAAAGAACAGGGCACAGAGATCGTCATCATCTCCGCTACTTTCAGAACGTATCGTACTCGGAACTAACGATTAAGTTCTCCAAGTCTTTCCTATTCTTCGTGTTCTTCAAGTTCCTTCCCCAATGAAAATAAACCTCAAAGGCTGTATATCCAATTATTCTTACTTCCTCTTCGGTATTTTAAGGATTTGTTTTTTTTTTTTCCTCAAGAACTGCCTCTTCAACATTTTCTCGTAGTATTGTTTACATGGAGAAGAGTCCCCTCGGTTCTTAGCTTCTTCTGCGTGTCCGTTTTCCAGGAGCTACTGTTTAAATTCGACTCCTTTTCTCTCTTATTGTTCATGTATTGTTCATCTGCAGGATTTTCGCAGTCCGTGGGGCACTTCCGACTATGGCTTTGTCTTCAGAAGGGTGGAAGAGTGCACGCTAAGATGGTCATTGGAAGGGAGCTGTGGAGAGGTACTGGACAATTGTATCTTTACCGTTTTCTCTTTCTTTCTTTTCTTTGCCTCTGATCGTGTTAGTATATTCTCCTACTTCCTCCATACTTCATGTCTACTTCTCTCTTCACCGTTTCTTCTTTTCTTTCTTTCCTTTCTCTACCTCTGATGTTTTTTCCTTCTCCAAAATCGTGTTCGTATATTCTCCTACTTCCCCCATAATTCATGTCTACTTCTCTCCTCTGGATAATGGGTTAAGTGCTATCCAAGATATGCACAAACGCAAGTCAGTCAACACACATAACGCATGATCCACGTTAAACAGACCCACATTCACAATGCTATAAAAACCGTGTTAAAAACAGTGTTAATTCCCCTGTGCTCTGGATTTTCACAATAACCTCTATACTTACATGATCCGACAAGTTTCTTTTGCATGTTTTTCCCGGATTTAAGAATAATCCCCAACATAACTTTACCTTTTTTTAGACTAAAATAATCTGTTTAGAAAAGGCCAGTTAAGGCAGAGCATAGCTAAGATACCCAAGGAGTCAGATGCAAGACAAGAGCATAGCTGAGATGCCCAAGGAGTCACGTGTATGACAGAACATAGCTGAGATGCCCAAGGAGTCACGTGTATGACAGAGCATAGCTGAGATGCCCAAGGAGTCACGTATAAGACAGAGCATAGATGAGGCATACAAGGAGTCAGATGTTGAGTGAAGCTAGGATCACATTAGTCAGCCTCCACGCAGTCTAGCCAGCTACAGTTTTTGATATCGTCAGCTGACCTGACTTCGGCGAGGTATTAGAGAATTGCAGAAAGAAGAAATGGGTCTTGCATTGTTTCGTGCCACCTTATTTTAGTCTAATTTATGACACTTGAAAAACAGCCGAAGTCCGGTCAGCTGACGATATCAAAGACTGTAGCTGACTAGACTTCGGGGAGGCTGTCAAATGTGATCCTAGCATAGCTTCACTCTACATCTGACTCCTTGGGCATCTCAGCTATGCTCTGACTCCTTGGGCATCTCAGCTATGCTCTGACTCCTTGGGCATCTCAGCTATGCTCTGACTCCTTGGGCATCTCAGCTATGCTCTGACTCCTTGGGCAGCTCTCGACTCATTGCATCTCAGCCTGTCTTGCATCCTGACTCTCCTTGGGCATCTCAGCTATGCTCTGACTCCTGGTCATCTCTGCTGCATCTGACCTCCTTGGGCTCTCTGAACTCATGCTCTGTCTTGCATCTGACTCCTTGGGCATCTCAGCTATGCTCTGACTCCTTGGGCATCTCAACCATGCTCTGTCTTGCATCTGCACTCCTTGGGCATCTCAGCTATGCTCTGACTCCTTGGGCATCTGCTCTGTCTTGCATCTGACTCCTTGGGCATCTCATGCTCTCTTGCTCTGACTCCTTGGGCATCTCGACCATGCTCTTGTCTTGGCATCTGACTCCTTGGGCATCTCAGCTATGCTCTGTCTTGACACGTGATCTGTAGCTCTGGCTTAGACTTCGGGGAAGGCTGTCAAATGTGATCCTAGCATAGCTTCACTCTACACCTGAATCCCCAGGTCAGAGAAGACTATTGTGACCTTACCTTGAGACAGAGATGAAGAAAATAGAAGGACTACGTACAGCTTCCGCTCTTTCTCTCCTTCTATCTCCTTCCTATTCCTCTTCCCCTCCAATTCTTCCACCCCAAGACCATTTGCAAGCAGGGAAGAAGAGATAGCAAGCAGGTTCGTGTGGGACACCGCTCTTTCTCTCCTTCTATCTCCTTCCTTCATTCAATCCTCAATCCCACCCCAAGACCATTTGCTAAGCAGGGAGAATGCATAGCAAGCAGGTGAGTAGAGAGAGCGTGTGGACACCGATCGCCACCCCAAGACCATTACTAAGCAGGAGAAGAGCATATCAGAGAGAGGGTAGCACACCGCTCTTTCTCTCCTTCTATCTCCTTCCTTCATTCATTCCCCCCTCCTTTAATCCTGCCACCCCAAGACCATTTGCTAAGCAGGGAGAAGAGCATAGCAAGCAGGTGAGTAGAGAGAGGGTAGCGTGTGGGTCAGTGTGTTCACTGGTTCCTCACATCTTCAGTGTCATGTCGAGAGTCAAACTTCTTTAGAAAACTCTCCTTGGAATATTGTGTCATTGTGGATTCAAAACTGTAACAAGGTGTGGGCTACAAGCGGTAAATTCATCCGTATATATATCTTCATATTCACAAATAGGATAGTAAATTGCTTTTCTACAAAGAGCACGACAAATATTCAAATGCTGAATATGACAATGGCATATATGTCAATTTCAGACAACCAATCAGCAGGAAAGATTAGTTGTACCAATGAATCAAAGAAAATAAAAAATATCATCTACAATATGTATATATAAAGTTTATTTAAGTAAACAAATCTGCAGACAACACAAACAATTGCAAAAAATATTGCAGCATGACAGAACTAATTTATATATCGAATAACCTTTAATAATCTTGCAAAGAGTAATTAATATTTGTATACAAGATGAGAAATGCAAGATTTTTAAAAATCATTCTTCCTTTTCATAAATTATGCAAAATCTATGCCCATAAGGAGCAAAATAGACATAACTGTTTTCTTTACAAATGTCAAAATATATTTCCAGTGTATTCCCTTAGTGTCCCCAAAGTCTTGGAACAAACACTCCATAGTCAAAATAATTCACTGACAACTATAAACATACACAAATTATACAAGAGACCAAACGCTACATAGTCAAAATAATTCACTGATAACTATAAACATTCAAATCACACAAGAGATCAAAAAGTAGTCAAAATACTTCACTGATAACGATAAACTCACACGAAGGACTCTCACACGAAGGACTCTGACACGAAGGACTCTCGTGACGCTACCTGAGAGTGCACGCCACCAGACCTGACTTAGAGGGCCTTGCAACGGGCGCCGGGTCTCTTAGTTCTCCAACTCGTCATCCTCCTGCAACAGGAACAGGTCCAGGATCTGCGCCCTCAGCCGGAGCTTCTTGGTGCTCGGCATGTCCTTCATGTGAGGCATCAGGCTCTTGAAGAAGTGCATGTCGTCTTCCGCGGCTTCTTGCTCCTCTTCCTCCCGCTTCCTCTTCCCCGGCGTGCCCTCTTTGCGGTCTTTGCCTGCGGGTCTGGGGCTCCTCTGCAGAGTGCGCGGCCAAGGGAGGGTTGAGAACTGTTTATCGCAATTATCCATATCGGCCATGATGACGTCCCTGAGGAAGGCCATCTGCTGGAAGTACGGCCAAGTGCTGGAAACCGGTTCTTCGTTCTGTCCTCGCACTTCCTTTCTCTTCAGCTCTCGTCTGTAGTAGTCTCTGGCGTTCTTCCATTTGTTTCGGGCTATTTTTTCTGGAAAAAAAGAGGACATGAAGTTATTGGAATGTATTTTGTAAATAAAGTCATAGGTTATTAATAATTTGATTGGCTTACTACCTCCCTCCCCCCCCTAAATAAATATACAGTTTCACTACTAATCATAGTCACCTAAATACATGAACATATGTTTCATTATTAACAATCAATTGCGTTGTTGCGGTCACATTCAACTGCATTTTGAGGCAACTGGTTTCCCAAAGTCATGAACAGACCTCCTCTAGAAACACTCAGGTCAGAATTGGGTCACGAAATCAGGCTATTAGTCAAAGAATTAGAAAGAAGGGATGGGTCTTGCATTGTTTCTTGTCACCTTATTTTAGTCTAATTTATGACACTTGAAAGAAATGAAAATCAAGATTTCAAGAAACGTGGCTCTACCTGGAAAACTACTGAGCCAAGATGCTTAGCTATGTGGTGTCGCAAGGAAATATGTTGATATGTAACAGATTATGATGCAACTGTTTCACCCATTCTCAAATTAATTCGAATGTCTATGCGAAGCTCAATGTGTTTGTAGGGTACCTCTGCCACTGAGGTTTATAGGGCATTTTCTACACAAACAACTCAACAGAAACATAATAAGTAACCTATAAAGTTGACCAGCCACTCATTGTGTAGTGAGACTGGTATTAACATTGTGCATGAAATATACTAATATACTCCATAATGGCAGCTAGGCAGACCTCATGCAATAGTCACACCCAAGTGTCCTATCACCAATCTTCCATTGCTGACTAAGCGGAACTCAAGATCCCGCCGTTAGTGCAGCCACCTGACAAGCCAGCCAAGTCCAGCTGATATTATAGATCCGGGCCTCGGTTCTTGTTGTACTGCAGGCTACGGGAAGCAGGTGTTGCTCCAAGGAATATTGGGCAAAATTGACGGTGTCAAGCTGCGACTTTGCAGGATGTGCGCTGGAAGCACAGGTCAAAGCCTAATGACTCTGAACAGTGAAACACCTGGGAGTGTATGTGATTCTTGCCAGGTAACTCAACTGGTACAGCCTTCATAATAACCCCACTCATTGAAATTGGTGGCTCACTAACTACCAAAGTGGTGATTAGGACCTTCTAATCAGTTTCCTACGATGACACGGCCACACTTAGGCCGACGAGCTGCGACAAAAAAGCACCAACTGCCATATTCCCAAAGCCTGGCACCTGAGCCTGTATATCCAACAAAATACCATCTCTTAGGATCTGGAGTTGAGCCTGCAACATGTCCTTGTCCATGGCTTCCCTTGGTACTCGCTGCCTCCTACACTTAATACCAGACTTAGTGGACAGGCTCCTGTGCCTTATGAGTTTCAGATCATTTAAATCTTCCAAAACTTAAATAAGCACTTAGAGACCATGACACTCGAGGATAATCATTATAAGGGGCAGTAAAGTGGAATGAAGCGGGAGAGAGGAGAGAGAGGAGGAGGAAGAGAAGACAGAGAGAGGAGAGGAGAGAAGGGATTTTGTGAGATACCAAAATACCGACGGGGAAGATACCAATAGATACCGTACATGATGCAATATCGTGCAGATACCAATATACATGAATTACCTAATCCACGAATCAGAACAGTAAAGACCTTGAGAGCCGTATGATAGTGATCGCATGAGTGCACAGCCTACTACCTCGTTGAATCAACGTATGATTATTCTGAGCAAGAGCGTGTATTCTCCAGAAATTTGCGCATGGTTTGACCCACACCTCGCTCTTCTCTCTCGATTCATTCTCTCTCTCTCTCTCTCTCTCTCTTCTCCTCTCTCTCTCTCTCTCTTCTCTCTCTCTCTCCTCTGCTCCAGACCTCCCCTCTCCCTTCTCCCCCCACTCACCTCTTCTCTCTCCTCCCCCCCTCTCGTCTCTCTCTCTCCCCTCTTTCCCCCCCCCTCTCCAGTCTCTATCCCTCAATACCCTCCCTCTCTCTCTCCCTCTCCCTCTTCCCTCTCATCTCTCCCTCTCCCTCTCTTCTTCTCGCCTCCCCCATTTTCCCTCTCCTCTCCCCTCCTCTCTCTCTCCCTCTCCCTCCTCCCCTCTTCCTCTCCTCCCCTCCCTCCCTCCCTCTCTCTCTCCCTCTCCTCCCCCCCTCTCTCTCCCTTCCTCCCCCCCCTCTCCCTCCCTCTCTCCTCCCCTCTCTCTCCCTCTCCTCCTCCCCCCTTCTTCTCCCTCTCCCTCTCCCTCTCTCTCCCTCTCCTCCTCCCCCCTCTCTCTCCCTCTCCTCCTCTCCCTCCCTCTTCTCTCTCTCCTCCCCCTCTCCTCCCTCTCTCCCCTCTCTTCTCTCTCTCTCCCCTCTCCCTCTCTCTCCCTCTCCCTCTCCTCCCTCTCCCTCTCTATCCTCATTCTATATATAATGACAAAATGACAAAATAATGCGACTTGGAGAAGAAAGACCCCCCCCCCCAAAATCTTCCCAGTCTAGGCACAGATTCTCCAACATGTAAAGGTATGATCTCCGTCCGTGTTGCATCTTCCTCTTCTGTTTTTATTTAATCGTTTTAACAGACTTGCATAACAACGAGAACAGGGAAGAGTGTTTACAGAACAAACGATAAGCCCCGAGAAGTGTTTTATACCCAATAACGTTCTCTTTTTGTTTCTTTTTTTTCGCTTTCCTTTTCTTTTTAATCTGTTTCTCCATCCAATGACGTCCCTTTTTTCTTTCTCTTTCTTTCTTTCTTTCTTTCTTCTTTCTTTCTTTCTTATTTATTTATTTATTTATTTAT